AGACGCAGGGGGGCATTGAGAAATACACTCGTTCTAGCAGTGCATTGATCGGCGGAGGCACACTAATATCGCTTCGGATTCGACCCAGGTTGAAATTCAGTTCTTTGAAGCTCAGATCGTACCCGGGGGAGGTGGTTTCCTTCCTGGAGGAATTCAGAACGCATCTCCCATGCCAGGACCAAAAGTATGATAAGCTCAAGGTCGTGGTGGTGCAAGGAAACTGTACAACCCTGTCGTGTTGTGACCAACTAAAATGGACTTAGACCGACTGGATGGCGGTGCATGCCGTGAAAAATGTGCGGCAGGCGATATGATAAAATAACTATAATCGGGTGTTTCAGCCTGGATTAGGCGACCCCAAGGGCGTCAAGTTGCGTCTTGATATCAATAAAAATATGCAGCCCACAAAATTTGCAGCCAAAAATATACTCGGGTTTGCCGTTTGGGGTCAATTCAGACGTCAGTCTATTCCAGAGGTGGTGCAGCTGCTGCGTAGCGTTCCCAGCGTCGTGGTTCACCTCGACGACATCTCGATCGTCAGCAATACAACAGAACATCTTCGATCACTGGATGAAGTACTGGCCAGGGTGAAGAAAGCTGCCTTAAAGGTGAGACCAGCCAAACATATATCATTGGTACCCAGTGTGGAGTACCTCGGACACAACATTGCTAACGGCGGTGTAAGATCAACTGCCAATGTGCCTGCTATCCAGGCTATCCCGGAGTCATAAAATACCCAACAGTTCAAACGGCTCTTGGCGCTTCTGACATGCTTTGACATGCTCGTGGACTTCAGCCCCCTCCCCCCTCTGGGGCGGCCAAAGTCCACGAGCGGGTAGGCGAGCTTGGGGTCATTTGGAGAGCACGTGTCCCCACAACTTAGATATAAAATACGGTCTTGGCACAGGCTGATCAGAGTCCCGAATTTGAACGGGTGGCCGATGGTGGACCCAGAGTTTTCATGTGGCTAGATTTTGGCGACTGCTTTTCAGGAAATAAGGTTTTGTTGCAGCATTTTAGGCAGAAAAGATTTCGGTAGCTTCGGATATTACCTGCGAAAAACAGGTTCACAAAAGCTATATAACCGCATTTTCTACCGTAAGAGCAGACCAAAAAATGAAGAACTTTCTTTGAGACATCTCTTTCTGAGCGCTGCTCCCGGCCGCTGTCGGTGGTCACCGGCCTGGTCCGACTGTCGCCCGCATGACTGACTGAATTGATAGTGTGACTGCTTTGCGGCATGTTAATGAATCACTGTCAATACGTATTGGAATGTAAAGCAGATGAGAGAGCTGCTTCCGCATCTCTTTTTGAATGATATGTCCTGACACTACAGCACAGCAACAATAATGCTTCGGGACACTGCCTGCCTTAGACATGAATTGGTCCGCCGTGAATTCATTTGCCCCTCCTTCATCGTAGCAGACTTGATCGGCTCATGTATGAAGGACAAAGGTAAACATTTTTCTAAAACAAGCTGCGTACCTTTATCTGTCGTAGGTGTTTAGGGTCAACCCGTACTGTAGGAAAAATTATGCTTCCTTTATGCCAGTTTGTCAGGTAGCTTATGATAGTTTTGGTTAACACGCGCTCAGATGGGGTCTAATTGACCCCCCCCCGAAGGTTTTTCCAGAATGGTCTCCGAACGGCGCGGCGTAGCCGCGCCAAATTTTGCATAGCTGTAGACAATTGAACAGCGGATCGTTTGGTGTCAAAAATTTAGATATACCTTGTAAGGTCGCCAGCCTATGACAGGTCAAACTCGGGAAGGGTTTCAGCAAAAGCAATTTCTAGGGAATCGCCTAACCTGATGCAACAGTCTATTTTTTACGTATATATATATATATATATATATATATATATATATATATATATATATATATATATATATATATATATATGTATCAGTCTATACAAAGGTCAGAACAAGGTCAGAACCGACTTGTTTTTATTACCTGGGGCTTGCTGTACGGGATAGTTTCTGGCGCTGATTTCGAATTCACTGATAGCAGGAACCGCATTCTGCATCTTCCATGGACTTCTTAGAGGTCAGAATAGGTCATTGACCTAAAATGGACCCGGTCAACATTATGTTTTAGGAACATACTGCCTAGCGCAATCTTTGTCGCTTATTCAAATGCAAAACTTAAAGCAATTTTGTATGATTCTGGTCGCCTTGACTTTCAAAAGGTCAAACAAGGCCACTGACTTTAAATGAGCATGTGACCTTTTGCCTGAAAACAGCAAGCTGGGTCCGGGGGCATTTTAGAGACCTGCCTGGAATTTAACTTTGCTTGACCTTATTTGACTAAAGGTCATGACCTAAAAACATGAAACTTTGACCTAAGTGAATTCACGTACAGGTCAACACACCCTGTAAATTTGTTGTCTCTAGCTTTTTTTAGTTTTCGAGATCTTAGGGGGGTCAGACTGACTCCAAACCGAGCGTAGGGAATCCAGCCGGCCACCCGCGCGCGTGTTAAAATCCTAGGCGTTATAGAAATACCTACCAAGTTGCGGATTGCCTAACACATAGACACACACACACACACCACACACACACACACACACACACACACACACACACACACACACACACACACACACACACACACACACACACACACACACACACACACACACACACACACACACACACACACACACACACACACACACACACACACACACACACACACACACACACACACACACACACACACACACACACACACACACACACACATACACACACACATACATATATACACACACACACGCTATATATATATATATATATATATATATATATATATATATATATATATAGATATATATATATATACAGGTTTATTTTTTATCTTATATTTTGCTTCACAGCAAAGAACTAATCGTACTTTTGCCCCTGGCGTCGACGGCGTGATTCTCAGTCCTTGAGGCTCGTGATCCGATAGGCGATCATTGGGGTATCAATTACCAACATATCTAGATTTACGCCTGTTCCTACAGCCGTGCTCCATTGGTTCAGACTTCACCATCCAGCATGTGGTGAGCACCCGGGGGGGGGGGGGGGGGGGGTTGAGTTCCTGAGGCTGCTGGTTATTGGGCCTGGCAGATGCCAATTGACGGGAGGCAAAGGGTCCGTTCGTTGGTAAGGCTGTCCGTCCGTCCATCCATACGTCCGTCCATGCGTCCGTCCGTCCGTCTGCCGTCCATCCGTCCGTCCGTCCGTCCGTCCGTAGACCCAGCGAAACACGTTTCTCCTTTGCCACCCTGCCCACGCCCCTAAGCCACACGACCTGCCGGAATGACAATTGGCCACTAGGGCCCTCTGAGCGGCCAAGAGGGCCCTGAGCAACTGATAAAACCCCGAGTATCCAGAGGGTCGTGAGGATACAGCTGAATGCTCCTGGGGACCAGACGAGCCGCAGAGCGGCCAGTGGACCCTTCATAGCTGGGCGAGCACCTGCGTGGCCTGAACGACCCCTAGGCAATCAGAGGCGCCCATTGGTGACTGAAGTGGCCCCAGGCGGCCAGTGTAGCTCTAAACAGTCAGAAGGAAAGAGATACCACCGGCCGGGGACCCCTTAATGGCCAAGAGGGATCTGAACAACCAAAACGGCCCAGGACCGGCCTGATACGCCCCTGGGCGCACAGGACCCCGAGCGGTCAGTGCAACCCCTGATTGATCAGAGCCCCTGAGTAGTCCTGAGAAAAAAGAAGAAAAGTCACCTTAGTGCCCTGGTGTGACTTTGAAGGTTTAAAGAGGCCTAGGTAGCTATAAAAGCCCTTAAACTGCCAGTGCCCCTGGTGGTCAGAAAGAGCCCACTGAGCTACCCGACGGGTACCGGGGTTTCCAAATGGAGACTGTTGAATATTCAGAGGGGCAATTTGTCATTATCGAAACGTGTATTTTGGCACAGCATCTCTTTTTGCGCTTTTCTCATTCGATGAGATCTTCTTTTTTGTTTTGTTGGTTGTGTTGCGCGAAGCCCTATCAAGGGTCCTTGGGCCGCCGGACCCGACCACTTTGGACCCCCATATCTTAGGTTTTGCGGAGCCCGGGCAAAAAGGTTTGAATCTCTGAAGCCCACAGAATTTTCAGCCGTAATTTAAGCCCTTCCCCTCCAAGATGGGCCTCAGTCCCCCAACTTTGAGGGAAAAGAGGCTAAAGTTGGTGCTTAAGCCGTTTATTGTTGACAAATTGTTGGGTTCGGTTCCATAGTTTTTCACGGTTCGATGCTTCCCATCCCTGCCCCTCCCCCCCCCCCCCAACCCACACCACCGACTCACATTGCGAAACTGCCACTGAACCCACGGATATTGCTAACCAGAACAGATAAGAACTTGAATTACAACGCTAGTATTACTACCTTTACTTTGTGTGTAGACGTCAGCGGAATCCGCATGAATGCGAATGTTCCGTTCTCAGGTCACCATGCGATGTCACCCCTGTTCAACACCCAGGTGTGACTGCAATAGAAACGACAACTTAACATTTTCCGAAACGGGTTTCGAAGTCCGAGGTTAGTAATAACCACTGTGGTCAAGCCGGAAGGATCTTGGGTGATGGCAACAGTTGTTCAGTTTATTGTGAAATTGTAATCAAAATTTACCCGAAAGAGCTGCGGTGATTTCAACGAAGACATGCGAAGTCAATGCCACATCCATCATCAGGAGTGTAAAATCGCAAAATGAATTGTGGGGTCTGAGGAGAAGAGAGCACTAACGAAACCCGCCCGATAATACGCCAACAAACTGGTTTCTTCCCGTATACCACTTTTTCTTTCAAAGCTGGGTGCTAGGCCCCTCACACTGAATAGAAAATAACACCGCTACCCGACATGCTGCAATTTCCACCAACACAAGCGACATGAACTCACGACTTCATCGGCCGTCTCAGGGAACAAGCGCCAACCCAAAATCCCTTCACAACACGAAATATTTCTTCTACTCTTGGAAAACTTGGATTTGGTATCTCTGATTCCGAAACATTTTAAATAAGGAAATCAGCGCAAGGGCAGCCACCCAGTCGTCGAACAATTTCAAAGTACGTATCTCTGTTTGTTTTTGGATTGATAGTGATTGAATCTATCGAAGATTTGCAAAAATATCGTTAAGATCCATGCAGTGACGAGCTTCACGCAAAGTTGCTGCAATAATCTTTCGGAACATTTGTCAGTATTGTGCAATAATTGTCGCATAGTCATTTTGGGTCGTGAAACTGGATATTGCGTAAGCTGGTCAGCAAAGACCGCATTACGTGATAACCCCAAAAAGGTCTTTTCGTAACGTGCTCAGTTTCACATGCAGCCTGTGGCCAGTGAGTCATGCTGTCCCTTTTGGGCTTCTGTGCTGATCCCAATATTGCATCCCAAAATGATATATTGTGCAGCTAGTTCCCAGCCCCCGTCACATTGCAGGACATATCTTGTTGTCTCAACCTAGCAATGTGCATATTTTGTGTTGTAAAATTTAACTACCTGTGAAATGTAAGTGACATTGGAGAAATTAGTGGAGCAGGGAAGTTCAGGGCTCATGTCTTTATATGCTGTGACTCACACAAAGCTGGTTATGTTTGTTCCCTGTGAAACTGACCTAAGAAGAATCCTTTAATATAATTTCACTTACAACCATCTGCAGGAACCTAATACATTGCTTCTTTTGTACCATAGATCTGGCTGCATGCATGAGGGCCTATTCAATCACAAAGTTACCACCAGGTGGTTTGAAAATTTCTGTGAGTTAACAGGATGGGAATGCTTGTGACCTATCATTTAAGTGATGTAACCTAATGTAATGTTTTTTATTGCATACAAATAAGCTGTAAATTTGCATTTGAGGATGCTGGAAAACAGTATTCGAGCAATTTCAGTGCATGCATAGTTAAAGAACTGGATAAGTTCTTAAAAAAACCTTCTGGATGGAGGACACAGCTCTGCACAGTTCACTTCATACACATCTTGTACTATTTTCTTCAACCATTGTATCTTTACAAAAGTGTTATGCTGTTGTTCATGTGGGCTGAAAATATAAAAGGTGCTAATGTCTCAGTCCAGTTTGCAAAGTAAGGCATGCTTCAATAAAATGTTGATGCAGTTATTTGCCTCAGATTTTGGGCACAGTTTTGGGACTTCCTCAGCATCAGTAGAACTTCAAATATGCTTAAGGCTCTACAAAAGTGGGTACATGCATAAATATATATTCAGAATGCACACAGACATCAAGCTCAGCTTGCTCATTTGTTTTGGTAAGAGAACTTAAATCAGAAAGGGGCTATGAGTTGCATCAGGACTGAAATCTGGGGTGCACAGAAGTACACTTTTTATAAATTTGATCCAAACCCTTTGAATGGATGGATTTCTGGGATCAGTGCTCACGCTAAGCAGTGCTTGTTGTGTGAGCTCTGACCCCCACCATCCGATCGCGCGATCCCAGGCAATGGCAGAATTTAGTGGCAAAAGCTTAACGTGCCGCAATGCTCGGCACTGTCCGTCCTGCCTTCTGACGTCAACTGACCTTTAGCGCGACGGTTGCCACCGGCCGCAGGCCATACCTATCAAGGGCAGATAGCGAGCGCCCTAAAGCGACTCGAATCCACCCAGCCAGGGGTGGGTGGATTGGAAGGCAGGCTTTCTAATCAACTGAGCCACCGGGACGGACTTATTGTAGATAGGACTCATACACTTCTGGAAGCACGTTTTGTTGGTCTAAATGCACCTCATGACACACAGCCCTGCAACTGGCTACCCACCTCATTTCATTTGATGAATCTCTAGTGTGTGCTCAAGCTTTGCTTTGCCAATGAGCAATGTATTTAGTCTCCTTATGATAACTCATGGACGCCATTTCCCTTACTGGCCTCGTAAGCTTCAGAACATGAGAAAATTTAGACAGGTAACCTACCCTAAGTCCAATTTTGCAACTGGTCATCATCTTGAACACATGAGTTGTTAAGTGCATTTTTGAGGAGCATTATTAATATAAATGAGATGACAATAATAGCCTTGTTCCTCATAACATAACCAGGAGAGTGGAGAGATAGACCATCTATCTCAATGATGATCTGTCTAATAGAGAGATATTCATCTGTCATAGATGAGTTGATATTTTAGCCACATGCCTTAATCACAACAAATGTTTTTGTAATAGCATTTGTAAGATATGTCTAGTCATGCCAATCTTAATGACTAATCATGCTGTTCATAGGCAGGTGTTTGGAGCCTGGGAAGGAATGTTTATTTACATTACCTTGTGATGACCTTAGTCCCCTGAATATTGGTTCCCCCGAATGTTGGTTTGGCCTCCAAAAGCTTGCTGAAATATTACAAACTGAAAAAACCAAGCATCACATAATATTAACTTCTTTGGGAGTTATTTGAAAGCCATGAGCACCTATGGCCATGATGGGTTATAGAAATGAACCTGAAAGCTTGCTGTTTTTCAAAACAAAGTACTCTCCAATGAGAAACTTGCATTTAAAAGGAGCCCTCCCAATCATCTGTCAAAGATCGCCGTCCTTGATGCCGGCGGCCGCCGTTGGCAGGGCGATGACGGCGACGGACGAGTCTCCGAAGAGCTCGCTGGCGTGCCCGGTGGTGTCGGCGACCGTGGTGGTGGAGCAGCTGGGCGCCGAGGGGAGCGTGCTGCGCGCGGCGCGCCACCCCTCGGCCAGCCTCTCGCTCTGCCGCACGGAGCGGCGCGAGCTGGCCCTGCTGCTCGACTCGCCGGCGCGACCGCAGGTCAAGGTGCTCCTGCGTGACGTCAGCCTGCACCGGCGCTTCCTGCGCGAGGGCAAGGCCACTGTGGTAGTGCGCGGTCAGCACGTGCGCCTGCTCGTCTCGAACGCGCCGCCCGCCCAGCTGCTCGCCTTCCTGCGCGTGCTGTCGGCCAAGCTGGCGCTGCAGGTGGCGCGGCCGGTGCGGCCCCGCCCGTCGGACGTCGCCGCGCGCCGCCTGGACGAGATCAGCCCGCTGACGGCCGCGCAGCTGGCGCAGCTGACCGGCGCGCCACAGACGAGCGCGCCGCAGAGCGCGCAGCAGGCACCGCTGGCTGCCCGTGACCCCAACGTGCCGCCGCCAGCGCGGTCCGCGAAGCGACCGTCCGCCGGCCCCCAGAGTCAGGTGCGGAGGGTGTGATGGCCGTCGAGGGACGCGCTCAGGAGGCCCTGGCTGATCCAACCGGTGATGTGGGGAGGAGGAGGGGCTGTAGCATGTTCCGATAGACGGTGGAAACGTAGCCTTATGGTCAACAAAGTAATGCCATCAACGGCGAGCAAACAGTCCAGTGATCGGAATTGATACATTGGTTTTATTATTTACACCCCCTTGTGCAGGATTGGAAACACTTTCCCGTCGTATTCACATCACTAGCGCAAAATCGATCGTTACAAATTTAATTCTGCGTATGATCAAATTGAACCTTTATGATATTGTACAATGCTTTCAGGCGAAGAGACCATCAAAGGAGATGACAATGAGCCAGTACCTAAACCCTCTCCCTATGACGAAGGAACAACGATCTGTCCTGGAGGTGGCCACGAGCAACCGCAACATCTTCTTCACAGGTTGGTTCAGTCTGTCACCCCGCATCCTCTTTTGGATGGACTCGACCATCGCAGTGAGCCCTATGTGCATGCATATGTGACAGCGCTATGCTGTAGTCCGACGATGGGCCTAGGCTGGGTTTCTGACTTATGTTTACAGGATGGGGTTTAATGCAGAGCGGGATTGTGGAATTGCGGCAGATCTTGCCCTGCTGTTATCATCCTTGTGTGCGAGGTGTCCGCTTTAGTCACGCTGAGCATTATGCGTGCCTCGTCGGATATCACGCACGCTACGCCAGCTCCATCATGTGCAGCACCTCGCTCGTACGCGCCCCACCCGCTCCCACGCGTGTGGGTCAGCGGTGCGTGTCAGCTGGCGCCCCCTACTCCGATGACGCAGCCACCGCCCGGCCGGCAGGCGGCGCCGGCACCGGCAAGTCGTTCCTCCTGCAGCGCATCATCGCCGCACTGCCGCCCGACTCCACCTGGGTGACAGCGAGCACGGGCGCGGCCGCGTGTCAGGTGCAGGGCGTGACGCTGCACGCGTTCGCCGGCCTGGGCCGCGCCGCCGGCTCGCTCGAGCAGTGCGTTCAGCTGGCGTCGCGGCCGGCCGCGCTGCAGCAGTGGCGACGCTGCCGCCACCTCGTCATCGACGAGATCTCCATGGTCGACGCCGATTTCTTCCAGGTGTGGCTGCGCGGTGCGGAGCGTCGGTCTGCGGGCTGGGATGGATCACGAGCGGAGGGTCGGTCTGCGGGCGGGGATGGATACGGGCAGAGGGTCGATCCGCGGGCGGGGATGGATCAAGAGCGGAGGGTCAGTCTGCGGGAGGGGATGGATCACGGGCAGAGGGTCGGTCTGCCGGCTGGGATGGATCACGAGTGAAGGGTCAGTCTGCGGGAGGGGATGGACCCCGGGCAGAGGGTCGGTCTGCGGGCTGGGATGGATCACGAGCGGAGCGTCGGTCTGTGGGCGGGGAGGGATCAGGAGCGGGGGGGTCGGTCTGTGGGCGGGGATGGATCGCGGGTGGAGGGTCGGTCTGTGGGTGGGGATGGATCGCGGACGGAAGGGTGTTTCGGTGAGATCATGTCCAAGGGGTGTGGGATCTGGCCTGCTGGTGCCTATTTTGCTTGCCCTTGGAATGTTCGATTATGTTTGAGCTAGTCATGACCGTTTGCCATGCTCCCCAAGGCTTAACTCCCTCACATCCCACCATGCAGAACCCACGCTGCGACGTCTGTCCCTCTTGCATTCCACTGTGCGCCCCTCACACCGTTGTCCGTGCTCACCTCCCGCCAACTCCCCACTGGCGCTGCTCTCCGAGCCCTCTGACGTGGCTGCCGGCGGCCCGCAGAAGCTGGAGTCGGTGGCGCGGCAGGTGCGGGGCAACGACAGCCCGTTCGGTGGCATTCAGTTGGTGCTGTGCGGCGACTTCCTGCAGCTGCCGCCCGTGCTGCCCAAGGGAACGGCGGGTCAGTATGGTGCGCAGACCGGTGTTCGGAGGCCGCCGCTGTCTAGCGCAGCTCCCCTGGCACCGTGCGTGGTGTTCTGTTGCGCTCCCGCGCGGCCAAATATTTGTTGAAAGAAGAAACGTTGAAGAATTGTTGGGTCCTTTGCTCTTTATTTTTTGTGTGAATCATGTTGAGAAAGGACTAGAAAGTTAGGTGCTTAAATTTGTTGACGACATTAAATTAATAGGGGTGTTGAAAAATGCAGACCAGGTGAAACTTGACTAAGAGTAGCCCGTGATTTGGGCTTCTCTGTGGCAGATGTCATTTACTTATGATGAGTTGAAGGTGGGGCATATGGGTAGTTCCGGCAGTGAGGGCATTAACTATGAAGTGGGAGGCCGAGAGTCGGACCAGGTCGAGGACGACAAGGACTTAGGGGTCATAATCTCCAGAGATTTAAAGGCTGAAAAGCGATGTGGGGCTGGTAGGAGCCAGACACTTTGGATGCTGGGACTTATTAACAGGAATGTGCATTACAAGAGTAGGAATATTGTCAAAAAGGTGTACTTGCTTATGTCAAACCACATCTAGAGCATTGCGCACCGGCTTGGTCCCCCCTACATCGAAAAAGATATAGATAGGCTGGAACGAGTACAGCGAAAAGCCACGAGAATGATGAATGGGGTTGGCAGCTTAGAATATAAGGATAGGCGAAGGACCTTGGATTTGTTTTCATTGAAATATCGAAGACTTAGAGAAAATCTGATAGAGCTATTCAAGATTATGACGGTGTTAGACAAGGTAGAACTACAAGGAGCAATGAAAATTAGGCTGAGACTTGGAGGAAACCAGTTTCAAGTATCAAAAGGTAGGTGTATAACTGTGAACAGGCAGATGCCATTTAATCAAAGAGTAGAGAATCATTGGAATAGACTGCCAAACATAGTTGCAGGAAGTTCCTCTGTAGCAACATTAGGAATCGTCTGGACAAGTTTTTTATCACTAAGGATCCCATTTATAGCTAAATTCAGGCAGGTCAGGCGGTAAGATTAATTCAAGGATGGGGGGAACCTAGGGTAGCCCAACCTCGGTGGGCCGCTGTGACTCTTTGTTGGCCTGATGTTTGAATGTCATGTCTATAAGAAAGTATTTGTATACAACAATTTCAAAAGTTGTGCTCACGATTCCAAATGGCCTTACTAGTGTATGGAAAGCGGCATAGGTTACAGATGCTTTGCTCATCCAAAGTTCACAGCTTGCACTGACACGACAGAGGGATGTAGGGACATGTAGCTGTCAATTGCTACCATCGGTGACCTCCACAGTCACCTGCAGAATCAGAAGACGCATGGGTCAACAACTTCACAACCATCCTCCAAATGGCCGCGCTCATGGCCCGATTGAAGTCAGCCTTATGTCCGCCTAGTGAGCCCGATAGATGGTATTTTAACCGTCGCTTTACGGAGTCTTCACCTTAGCCCCACGCGGAGAGGGCGCAAAGCCCCCCCCCCCCCCCCCTACCCCGCTAAGATCCAAAAACTACGCAAGTTAAGAGCCGTGGGAAAGCGTCTTTGAAAACTACATCAGATGCGCGCGATTGAAGTGACCGTTGATAGCTTAGATCAGTCCACAATGTTCAAATTGGTGCATTATACAGCCCCCCCCCCCTGCTTTTTCACGAACTAACATGCCACGACGACTGCGATCACACTGAAGACGGCATTGGATCGCTATTGGAAAACTAATAGATGGAAACTAGTGAAAATTGACACCCATCACCTGCGATGTATCATTTTTGGTCAAACGCACCAAGCCTGTTATTGCAGTGACCTGTAGAACCATTTCAAGAACGTCACAAGTGATGTCAATGGGGAAAAACGGCGTTAGAAATTGTTTCCAAGTCTGTAATATATGTACTTTATGTTTTAAATGGTATGACCGCAAATAAATAAAATCTTGTCACGAAGGTCAAAATTTGAACTTAGGTAACTTTGGATAACCTGACCTTGCCAAAGCCACAAAAGCAAAAGAACTGCACTTCGGACGTACATAAATGATGCAAACGAAGCTACCCCAAAATTTTAGCACTGTGCTCAAAACCGTTGGGACATTTTTGTGGGAAAACTTTCGGGAGCCTCTGAAGCTTCCCTCGTAGGGCAGTGTGCGAGAAGTGGTCGGATCAACGTGCTGTGAGTCTTTATTTCACCCCAGTCAGCGACATTGACACACGTTCAAGCTGTATGGCAACTCGATGAAGTTTGTACACCATTTCGATCGCATTTCCGCACTTCCATCGCGTTCTGTGCTTGAGTGGGCTTGTGGTTGTCATGTGTCCATGTAGCGGCGGACGTTGAGTTACCACTTCCGTCGTAGACCAGTGTCTCATGTCAAGGGTATCGTCCAATTGGCTGTGAACAATGACCACCGAGATCTTCAAACGATGTAAGACTTGATATCAGCATCAAGGGCGTTAAGCTCGTGATTTTTGGGCATTGAGTTTTTGTATTGCTTGTTGTGACAGCAGCCAACCTCCAATACGTCACGAGGTGCTGCCTTGGATACAGCTCAAAATGAGCTTCGACAGTGTGTCCGATAAAGTGGCTGATTGCCCGGCTCTGCGTCAGGTGGCGGCGGTGGCGGCGGCGGCGGCGGCGGCGGCGGTCGGTTCTGTTTCGAGTCGGAGGCGTGGAGCCGGTGCGTGGATGTGACGATGGAGCTGCGCGAGATCCACCGGCAGGACGACCCCGAGTTCATCCGCATCCTGCGAAACGTCCGCGTCGGCCGGTAAGCAACCCTGGCCGCCCCGCAGCCCTGGGGGACCGCGCCGTCTGCGGTGGCCTTGTTGTGGAATGGGACGCCGCTCCCGCCAGCGGACAACAGCTGGTGCGCTCGGTTGACGCATCCCGGCATTGGCGGCGCTGTGTTCCAGGCCTGTGAGGTACTCTGTGGCCAATGATTGCTCGTAAATGCGTTTGCCTGTTTAGCCCAAGACAAAGTTGCCGGCCTGTCGAGGCTCATTAACAAAGTTCGCAGCGGTGCCGAAGTTTGTGATGCCACTCGTGCAGGAGAATTATCGCATTGGTCGGACGCGGCATGCCGCTGTCGTGTCAGGGCCTTGGACGCGATAGCTGGGCCTGGAGTGTCCGGACTCTGTTACGGATGTGTGTCAGGAGGGAAGCGCTCTTGGGAGGGGGGGGGGGGGGGGGGAGGAGGGAAGGAGACAACCGTCCGAGATTGGGCCCAGCGCTGTCTTTGCAGTGCTTCATTTGATACCCAGCCGAGAATCAGTTACGGAGTACAATGGTCGGACTACCTACTGTGGCGTTAGTTTTAGGAACATCGTTGCTTTTTTCACCTAGGCTGGGATTTCTGGCGTTATGCGACCAAGTGCTCCCCGAGCCGACGTGGCCTCCCCGGTCCCGCCAGGTGTAGTGAGGACATGACCTGACGTGACCTGCGTACTCCGCGCCGGCGCGACCTCCCCGGTCCCGACAGGTGTAGTGAGGACATGACCTGGCGTGACCTGAGTGCTCCCCCGCACCGACGACTTCCTCGGTCCCAACAGGCCTAGCGAGGACATGACCTGGCGTGACCTGTTCCCTTTGCCGGCAGGTGCAGCGAGGAGGACGCCCGGCGCCTCTCGGCCACGGCCAAGAACACCATGAATCTGCCGGAGGGGATCGCGGCCACCCGGCTCTGCACGCACCGGGCCGACGTGGACCAGATCAACGCCCACCAGCTGAACGCCCTCACCGGTCAGTGGTCAGACGAGCTCAGCTGGTGCAGCGCTCCTGTCACGGATCAACGCACGTGTGTAGTGTAACAGTCGTGCTGTCGGTGGCGGCTGCCGACCTCACCTCTCGCGTGAGGCAGGGTCGAGTCAGTGTTCTTACAATTCGCTGGCGTGAGTCAAACCGGTAACGTATCGAGGATGCAGATATGCTGTTGGCGGAAGAGGGGGGGGGGGGGGGGGTGGAAGCTCCACGTAAAACTCTTATTGAAGACGTACTCTTACTCAAGGTCTCTTTTTGTGTGGCCCACACATATTTGCCATCGCAAAAATCAATAAGTTTGCCTTTATTCTGGCTGGTTTAGTGTGAGCCAAAATTGGGTTATTAAATTTTACCGATGCTATCTTTAAGTCCCCAAATCGAAACCAGACACGTCAGAAATCATCATAAACATATCAGGTACCATAATCACCATCTTAAACAGAAACAGGGTCCAGCTACGCCGCTCTTACAGGATACGAACTCTGAAAAGGAGCGTGTTTACTGAATGCCAAAATATGGCTGTTAACAGCATCTTAAACGAACATCAACCCAGGAACACTAACTCCAGTTTCACCATGCAAATGTGCTGAGAGGTGTTGGTTACGATACTCTTCAGGAGCAAAGGCAGAGAGAGAGAGAGAGAGAGAGAGAGAGAGAGAGAGAGAGAGAGAGAGAGAGAGAGAGAGAGAGAGAGAGAGAGAGAGAGAGAGAGAGAGAGACAGAGACAGAGACAGAGACAGAGAGATAGACAGAGACAGAGACAGAGACAGAGACAGAGACAGAGACAGAGACAGAGACAGAGACAGAGACAGAGACAGAGACAGAGACAGAGACAGAGACAGAGACAGAGACAGAGACAGAGACAGAGACAGAGACAGAGACAGAGACAGAGACAGAGACAGAGACAGAGACAGAGACAGAGACAGAGACAGAGACAGAGACAGAGACAGAGACAGAGACAGAGACAGAGACAGAGACAGAGACAGAGACAGAGACAGAGACAGAGACAGAGACAGAGACAGAGACAGAGACAGACACAGAGACAGAGACAGAGACAGAGACAGAGACAGAGACAGAGACAGAGACAGAGACAGACAGAGACAGAGACAGAGACAGAGGCGTTAGGTATGCTTGAGTGTGGTCGTTCGAGCCAGGTTGTATCGATACGATTAGTTTAACATTTTGAGTCAAGCTTACGGCGGCTGGTGACATCAAGGCGTTTTTAAAGATCTAAGAGATAAAGAAGAGTCGGCTCCTGACGATCAATGGCCAATAGAACACAACCAGAGAAAAAAGAATGGGCTTCAGATAATGCACTTTTGGGCGCAGGAAAAACATGATTATCAACCCTTCCTTCCTGCGAAAGGCAGGCGACGCCATATGGGTGCGGCGTAAAGCCCCAATGATGGCAGCTGTCGGAGCCGGCTGATGGTGATGGAGTCGCGGTCTGACCTCAGCACAGACAGCGCTGGGGCCGGCGCGAGCTGACCGCACCGCCCCGCCGCCAGGCCGGCTGCGGGAGTACTGCGCCGAGGACTCCGCCGGCGCGCCGGCCTCGCTGCTGGACACGCTGACGCCGGTGCCGGCACGTCTGCGACTGCGGCCCGGCGCCCAGGTGATGCTTACCAAGAACCTGGACGTGCGCGCCGGGCTCGTCAACGGCGCCCGAGGCGTGGTGGTCGGCTTTCGCGGCGGCGTGCCCTTCGGCGGACAGACGGGTGAGTGCAGGGCTGGGGTGGAGCGCTCGCCCTTCGGCGGACAGACGGGTGAGTGCAGGGCTGGGGTGGAGCGCTCGCCCTTCGGCGGACAGACGGGTGGGTGCAGGGCTGGGGTGCAGCGCTCACCCTTCGGTGGACAGACGGGTGAGTGCAGGGCTGGGGTGCAGCGCTCACCCTTCGGTGGACAGACGGGTGAGTGCAGGGCTGGGGTGGAGCGCTCGCCCTTCGGCGGACAGACGGGTGGGTGCAGGGCTGGGGTGCAGCGCTCAGCGGGCTCGGGCCAGCGATGGCTTGTCAGGGTCAGGCCAGAGTCGGCGGCGGTTTACAGGGGTCGGGTCAGAGGCAGTAGAGCCGGGTCCGGTCAAGGTCAGGGACAGTTCGACGACGGCCAGGTCAGAGCCGACCCAGCGACAGTCAGACCAAGAGACGGCTCGCCGGGGTTCGTCTGTCGTGTTAGCTCGCGCCCGTGACAGGCCAGACCACAGCGTCAGCGGGGCCTTCGGATGGGTGATGCGGATGCTGCCGTCCTAACGCTGCTTGGCGATGTCGACCGTGTTGTCCATCCCGCATGGGTCCGTCAGCTCGACAGTTTCTTGAGTAAATTGCCTGATGCGGATATTTCTTCGCTGCTTGTGTGTATCTATGCCCGGGACGCTGAGTGCGCCTTGTGTTCATTGTGAACGCGTTGCAGTGATGGCTCATTTGCTAGTCCATTAGTTCATCATTCATTGTTCAGCAATGATATGCCACGTAAGAGTCGGCTGGCTTCCGATGGCACGGCACCCCCGTGAGTTGTCCATCATGCGCCCTCACGAACTAACGACTACAGTGAAATAGTACGGCCCATTGCATTATGCGATCAGCAAATGATCTATAGAATGAAGATTGGTGATAACCTGTAACCCCAAAAGGCTTCGAACAAATCGTGGAAGCCTGTTGTGTTCTTTCGCTCCGGATACCCCTTTAGGACCTGCGTGTCGGACAGCAACGGCTGCCGGCTGGCACACCGAGTCGTCTTCTGGCTGATAACCATGCGGCATTGAATTCATTCCACCCTTGGGAAGGAGAAAGACGTGTGCGCTCTGGTGCTAAGTAATTCTCACTCGTTCTTAATCTGATATTGACGACTGGAAAGGGCAGACTGTTTTTTTCCACCTTAAAGATGATATAAGCACAAAATACCGGCACGTGCATTTTACGTAGGCCGTTGGTCACCCAAGACACCTCAGCACACGACAAATTACGCCAGCTCTCATGTGCTGGATGCCCACGGCGGTATGTGACACCACATGAGTTCTCAGACTTTCTCATATTATTATTTTTACGGAACTATGTCACGCGCGCGTGTGTGTATGTCTGTCTGCTTGTCTGTGTATGGACAAGTTTGAGCATGTCTAAATGTGGGCGTGTTTGTGATTGAATGGACTCACGGTGGCAGGTGGTGGATGTTAAAGAGAACCTAGCCAAGACTTTAGAACATCAGGAGATGCGGGGCTGTAACGGGATAAAACGTCAGTTTGTATGATAAAGCGCCAGACCGGTGTCGCCACTCAGCGACCACGGCCGGGCGAAGCGCTTCAAGCGCCTGTAGCGTTCAAAGTCGCTGTGCGAAAGCGTATTGGCGGATAGCTGGTGGCCTCAGGGTTGGGTGGTCGCGCTGTGCCGATCCATTGGTGTCATCCCCAGGCCAGCGCGCTGTGCCGCTCCACTGGTGCCATCCCCAGGCCAGCACGCTGTGCCGCTCCACCGGTGCCATTCCCAGGCCAGCGCACTGTGTCGCTCCACTGGTGCCATCCCCAGGCCAGCACGCTGTGTCGCTCCACCGGTACCAACCCCAGGCCAACGCGCTGTGTCGCTCCACCGGTACCATTCCCAGGCCAGCGCGCTGTGCCGCTCCACCGGTACCATTCCCAGGCCATCACACTGTATCGCTCCACTGGTGCCATCCCCAGGCCAGCACGCTGTGCCGCTCCACCGGTACCATTCCCAGGCCAGCGCGCTGTGCCACTCCACCGGTGCCATCCCCGGCCAGCGCGCTGTGCCGCTCCACTGGTGCCATCTCCAGGCCAGCGCGCTGTGCCGCTCCACCGGTACCAACCCCAGGCCAACGCGCTGTGCCACTCCACCGGTGCCATCCCCGGCCAGCGCGCTGTGCCGCTCCACTGGTGCCATCTCCAGGCCAGCGCGCTGTGCCGCTCCACCGGTACCATCCCCAGGTCAGCGCCGCCACATTGGCGCCTCACCGGTCTGCATGGCGTCTGTCCTCTGACCGTAGGCGAGGTCCGTGGCGCGGGCAGCGGACCCTGGTGCGGGCGCGCCGGTGCCGACACCGCCCCCAGTGTCGGCGCGCCGAGCCCGGGGCGCCGGCTTTGTCTCGCCGCTGTCGGAGGCGAAGGAGAGGCGCCAGGAATGTGATTGGAACCGCCCGACGGCAGGGCTAAGTTGCGTCAATCTGTGTGGAGGATCCGTATCAGTTCTCCCCATGCTGCATTCATTTGGTCTGGAGGTTTGTGGGCTTGAGATATATGTGTTGGTTTTTTGCTTCCACGTTATACGCGTTTTTATACATAAAATGTGCGGTCTTACTGAAGTTCTTTGCGAGTTATATTAAATGGTTTTAGCAGCAGTAGTGATGCAAATTTGCATTACCTTAGTATTCTGCGATAAGAGCCCGATTTCATAATTTATTGCAAGGTGTCTCTGTTCATGCTCAGTTGGTTTAGTTCCACTTAAACTTCACCGAGAATCGTTAAACTACAGAGTAACGTCAAAATAGATTTGCTACTGTGTCTATGGCTCAGTTGCGGAAACTTAGCGTGCTGCGGACTGCTTTCAGCCTTTTAAGGTATGTAATAATCTATCTTTGGCAACGAATCAACGATTGTAGCACTTATTGTAAGGTGGAGGCATTATGGACAGTCGATTTTGTGACCAGCTTCACTGCATACATGGTATTTTCGAAAAAGTAGCAGTGTGTCCTAAGCATTTTTGTTTCAGACGTTTACCGGCTCATGTATGCTCTCGTATTTCGAAGAGACAAATGAGGCATGCACACATTTGTTGGAAAAGGCACCTTCGTTCATTACACTGTTATCCCGAAGTAAACGTTTAATCGCCGAAACTGTTTGAGTAGGCCGGGCTAAGTAGTTCATTGAGAATGCTGGCAGATACGTTTAATATCCCGTAACACCGGTCTTCGCTTGCTCTGTGCATTTCATTGGCCTCCGACTGACAGACAGCGAGGACGCATGGTCTCTGTCTGTCAGAAAACGGACTGCCGTCGCCACAAGGGCGATAGTTTGCCGTCCAGAGCTGCGGCTCCAGGCCATTCGTGACGGGCGCCCGGTCATCTGTCGTCCCAGCAGGGCCGTCTACTGAGCTGTAGCGGGCTGGGACTTATCCTGGGGTCGGGACACTCCAGCAGCCCGGCCGGGCACCCGTTCGTGTGTCGTTGAAGCGGGGCTGTCTGCTGAACTGTAGCGGGCTGGGACTTATCCTGGGGTCGGGACACCCCAGCAGCCCGGCCGGGCACCCGTTCGTATGTCGTTGAAGCGGGGCCGTCTGCTGAGCTGTAGCGGGCTGGGACTTATCCCGAGATTAAGACACTCCAGCAGCCAGGCCGGGCACCCGTTCATGCGTCGTTCCAGCAGGGCTGTCTGCTGAGCTGTAACGGGATGGAACTTATTCTGAGCTGGGGACATCTCAGCAGCCAGAGGTCTGCCAGAGCGCGATCGGTACACCCCAGTAGCCACAGGTCTGTCGAGGCGTGACCGGGACATCTCAGCAGCCAGAGGTCTGCCAGAGCGCGATCGGTACACCCCAGTAGCCACAGGTCTGTCGAGGCGTGACCGGGACATCTCAGCAGCCAGAGGTCTGCCAGAGCGCGATCGGTACACCCCAGTAGCCACAGGTCTGTCGAGGCGTGACCGGGACATCTCAGCAGCCAGAGGTCTGCCAGAGCGCGATCGGTACACCCCAGTAGCCACAGGTCTGTCGAGGCGTGATCGGGACACCCCAGTAGCCACGGGTCTGTCGAGGCGTGACCGGGACACCCCAGTAGCCACGGGTCTGTCGAGGCGTGACCGGGACACCCCAGTAGCCACGGGTCTGTCGGGGCGTGATCGGGACACCCCAGTAGCCACGGGTCTGTCGGGGCGTGATCGGGACACCCCAGTAGCCACGGGTCTGTCGTGGCGCGATCGGGACACCCCAGTAGCCACGGGTCTGTCGAGGCGTGATCGGTACACCCCAGTAGCCACGGGTCTGTCGAGACGTGATCGGGACACCCCAGTAGCCACGGGTCTGTCGAGGCGTGATCGGGACACCCCAGTAGCCACGGGTCTGTCGTGGCGTGATCGGGACACCCCAGTAGCCACAGGTCTGTCGAGGCGTGATCGGGACACCCCAGTAGCCACGGGTCTGTCGAGGCGTGACCGGGACACCCCAGTAGCCACGGGTCTGTCGAGGCGTGATCGGGACACCCCAGTAGCCACGGGTCTGTCGAGGCGTGATCGGGACACCCCAGTAGCCACGGGTCTGTCGAGGCGTGATCGGTACACCCCAGTAGCCACAGGTCTGTCGAGGCGTGATCGGGACACCCCAGTAGCCACGGGTCTGTCGAGGCGTGATCGGGACACCCCAGTAGCCACGGGTCTGTCGAGGCGTGATCGGGACACCCCAGTAGCCACGGGTCTGTCGGGGCGTGATCGGTACACCCCAGTAGCCACAGGTCTGTCGAGGCGTGATCGGGACACCCCAGTAGCCACGGGTCTGTCGGGGCGTGATCGGGACACCCCAGTAGCCACGGGTCTGTCGAGGCGTGATCGGGACACCCCAGTAGCCACGGGTCTGTCGTGGCGTGATCGGGACACCCCAGTAGCCACGGGTCTGTCGAGGCGTGATCGGGACACCCCAGTAGCCACGGGTCTGTCGAGGCGTGATCGGGACACCCCAGTAGCCACGGGTCTGTCGGGGCGTAGTCGGAGCTCACAACCTCATGCCATTGTAGTGCCACGCGGCGGACTTCCGTGTTCCGGCGAGCGGAACCAGGGGGGCATTGGACGTGAGGGCCGGTCTTGCGTCAGCGGTGGATACATGCCATGACATCATGCATATTCTAGTGAGCCAGCTGTGTTTGAAAGGCATGAGCCTCTCAATCAGATGGGAAATGGAACTCTTCGCCGTGGTTTTGTGAGCAATGAAAGGAGGCTCCGATTAGTATGCCTGGTGAAGGGAAATCTAAATTAAAATTCATAAGTGGATGTTACTTGTTGAAACGATGCTTCGCCCTCGTGGGGGCAATACGTGAAAAACGCGATTGATTGGGCAAGGAGGCGGGAAAAACGGGCGTCGTAACTCTGCGGCGGCTTTTTATGGTGAGGATCTCGCAGGCGATCTCGTTTCGTCTAAGCTACACGGTAGCCCAGAAATCCATTGCGCGAGTGTTGCGACTGTTAATAGACCATGCCTTCGACATACATGTAAATGCTGTCGCAGTGATTCGGTTGCGTATGCGACGCTAGCCTTTTTGATTCTCAACCAGTTGCCACCTGAGAATTGCACCATAGTTCGATTTTGAAATGGTTTGAAATTGGCGCGACGGTACCTTCTTGTTAATGTCGGTAACGCGGCGTAATTTGTTCGCGCGAACGGCTATCCCACCAGCCCTTCACGGCCTCGGCCAGCTGAGGGTAGACTTGCTCCTGGGTCTGCAATCCACACCGTAACATTCGGCCGCCGGTCGCTGGCTTTACGTCGACTTGCCACCGGGGCCCCGCCAGCGGAGGCGGCCCGGACACCTGGCCATTGGTGACCGGGCACAACCAAGCTGCGGCTGGGCTGCGTCCGGCCCGGCGCCGCCAGTGGGGTCTCCCGATGACGTCCGGCGCCGCCAGTGGGGTCTCCCGATGACGCCCGGCGCCGCCTGTGGGCTCCCCTCCCGATGACGCCCGGCGCCGCCAGTGGAGTCCCCTCCCGATGCCGTCCGGCGCTGCCTGTGGGCTCCCCTCCTGATGCCGTCCGGCGCTGCCTGTGAGGTCTCCTCCCGGTGCTGAGGCATGTGTCGACGTGGTGGATCCTCGCGATTCTATAGTTGACTTGCAACCTCACTGGCTTGTGTGCATATGCAGAAGACAATCCTGGATGCCACGTGGTGAAGTCGCCCACAAATGAAGAAGGCGGTGGGGACGTTCTATGCACGCACGCACGCACGTCATTGGCTCATAGCTCAATAACGGATGGGTTCCACGCAAGATACTTGGGCTCGGCGGCTGCTCCGCTTCTGTGTTATGCACTGGGGCCGAGGTGATGTTGGTCGAAGAGTCTCAATGTTCAAAATTGTCATGCCCGTCCGGCCGGTAACTTTGTCGTAGAACTGTGACCTGCAAGGCAAGTGCATGCTAAGAAACGTGGTGCGCAAAGGTGCGTGCAAGCTATGCGAAACAAGCTATGCAAGCCGTGTTGCGTCACGCCGTTCCAGTCTGCTGCGTGCTGTGGCTAGGAATGGTAAAGGGCTGGCCTGACGCTCCCTGACCGGGATCCGGACACGATACTCTCGTGCGACGAGGAGCGGCGTCATCTCGCTGCTACCAGGAGCCTGCTAGGGGTAGTTATTAGGTGTTTCCCTGGGGACGTATTTCCACGCCTGGTTTGGGAGGCGTGATCGCATACAAGCAATGCTGACGTGACAAATATTGAGGGCGGAGTAAAGTCGCATCGGTATAGTAGCGGAACTTCGGCTCCGGAACTCCCTGATCTGTCCTGGTTTCCTCATTCGCCTCTTCATCCTAAATGCCCGCAACGGTCTGCCTCGCCTCTTACATAGCTGCCAGCTATGACCTGCCTCCGCGGCCTTCCTGGGGCAGGGGGGGGGGGGGACGGCCCCAGCGCTCGTCCTGGTAGGGGCCCTGCCCTAGCGCTCGTCCTGCGCGGGGGCCCGATCCGAGCGTTCGTCCTGGCGAGGTCCAAACCCAGCGCTCGTCCCTCGCGGGGCCCGAGTCCTGGCGGGAGCCCCGCCCCAGCGCTCGCACAAGCCTCAAAGAAATAATCTTGTCTGGGCAAAGGCTTTTTCGCAGTCTCCCACGATGACCGCAGTCCTGCCCCACAGTTCGCCTCTCCTTGTCGCCGTGTCTCCTTGTCGTATATATATATATATATATATATATATATATGTATATATATATATATATATATATAGATATATAGATATACAGATAGATAGATAGATAGATAGATAGATAGATAGATAGATAGATAGATAGATAGATAGATAGATATGGAATGATCACTGACCGAATGGGTCCTAATACAAACCAGCGTGATAGAATCCGAAGCGCCCCAACATCATCCGTCAGTCTTTCATCTTGACACACGCTGGGCTTGGGATTGACGCAGCTCATATTGGTGTGCACTCGGCGGGCGAATTTGCCCCAATCACCGGCGGCGCGGAACTCAGCGCGGCCTCAAACACAGACAAACGAGCACCGCTCCGGTGAGCCTCGTCCAACACGGAGCTGTCGGACTGCCTGCAGACGGAGGCATGCCCTGGCGCCTTTGGTAATGTCAGAGCTCTAGGAGCTGCAGCCGTTTCACACGGTGGTCAGGTACTCTGTGTGTTGTCGGACTCCAGCTCGGCGTGGCTTTAAGTGAAATGTGCGCTTCGGAGGCAACGGTGGGGGTCATTTGGCTTTGCGTCTCCGCTCAGCTGCGGCGGCGCTGGTGCCAGGGGCGAGGGGCGGCGGACGCTCGACGCTCCGCCGCATAGCTCTGACATAAACGGGAAGACATGTAGCCAACAGAGAGCCACAAGGGCCCATCGGGACTGGCCTACCTCAGGTTCCGCACACATCTTCGAAACTAATCGTATCACCTGACCTGCATGAATTTAGCTGTAAATGAGATCTTTTGACCGATAGAACTCGTCCAAACGGCTTTTGAATGATGCTAGAGAGCAACTTCCTTTAACTTAGTATGTCAACTCATTCCAGTGGCTCACTACCCTTTGACTAAATGATATCTGTCTTCATAGTTCTGCTCCCACGTTTTGCTAAATGAAACTGGTTTCCTCTACTTATCCTAATTTTCAGTGCTCCATGTAGATCTACCTTGTCTATCCCTTTAATCATCTTGTTACCCCTGTCAGAAGTCAATGTCTAAGTCTTGTACCTCCCCGAAGTCTACAAAGTTCAGTAAGTACAAAATCCAAGGCCCGAAGCATATCCTTACATTTTAATTCGCCAATGCCATTTATCATCTGTCCTTCGTTGTACTCTTTCCAGTCTATATTTTTTTGGAGGCATGGGGATCAAGCCTGTACACATTCCTCTAGGTGTGGTCCAACGTCGTTCACTACAACTTTTTGACAACGTTTCTATCCGTGTAATGAACATTCCCGCTAATAAGTTCCAGCGTCCGAAGTGTTGCTCTGCAGGCCTAATAATGACAAAAGTTTGCCCGCACGCAGCGGTACTGCACTCAGTTTGGCCTCAGCCGAATCAAGTAACGCCGACATGCGCGCTTACGACCCCGTGTCGCAGTTGTGTCCCACTTGAGACCCGAGTTTCACGCCGGGTCAGAGGCACGACAGGCCTACGCGCCTGTTTGCTCATGTGTACCGCAATGCGGCTGGGGACGCAGTTCGCGCGGTGCGTGGCGCTCAATGCCGCGCGGGTGCTCGACGGCCGGCTGGACGAGAACAGAGCCGGCCGCAAATGACCAGTGTAGATGACGCACCCTGCTGCAGCAAGCGTGTGACATAATGCCGATCACGAAATAAAACAAACTGAGTTGAGGTGGATTTAGACACTGAAGAATCTGAACCAATAAAGATGATTAAAGCGGGATCGATTCCGGTGACGACAGGTTCGAACATAGCCCTTTATGTGAGCTACATGGGAATGTAGGAGTGTACGTGCTCTCCTAATGGAACCTTACTTCGTATAGTTGTTCACTCACTATACGTGCAAGCTGACTTTATGAGTGCATACGCCGATAGTCAGGTGATTATTTGTGTCAACTCATGAATCCACCCAAGACGTCTCATTTCTGGCCCGTCACACCGAAATGTTAAACAATTTATGTACTCCAGCTAGAGCCGACCACACCTGGCTCGGTCCCCGGCTGCGGCGCCACTCCGAATCACGCACAAGTCTCGACCTTGGCGGCCACTGCACCGCAACCGTGGCTCTGGGCCCGGCGGGGCTAGCAGGGACCAGATACGTTATTGTGCCAAATGTCCGTCTACTCTCTGGTAGTGATCTGAACCCCGTCCTACGGCCAGTGCGTGGCACGCTGATCACAGCGTCCGTGTGTGCGTGTGCGCCACAGAGCTGCCGGAGGTGCAATTCGCGTGCGGAGTGCGGCGTGTGCTGCCCGCCGAGCGGTGGACGGCCCGATCGAGCGGCGCCAGCCCGCTGAGCCGACGCCAGCTGCCGCTGCGTCTCGCCTGGGCGTTCTCCGTCCACAAATCTCAGGTACGTGAGTTGTGACGCTGCCTCCGGACCGGTGAGCCGTCGCGCGCCAGTGACGCGGTGCCCCCCCCCCCCCCCCCCAACCGGCGAGCTCCTCTCCCCACCCGCACCGGTGGCGCGACAGCCCTTCCCCGGCGAGCTCTCTCCCCACCCGCACTGGTGGCGCGACACCCCTGCCCCTGCGAGCTCCTCACCCGCGCCACTGGCACGACAGCCCTCCCTGGCGAGCTTTTCACCTATGCCGGTGACGTGACAGCCCTCCCTGGCGAGCTCCTCTCCCCACCCGCACCGGTGGCGCGACACTCCTCCCCCTGCGAGCTCGTCACCCGCGCCGGTGGTGCGACAGCCCTCCCCGGCGAGCTCGTCACCCGCGCCGGTGGTGCGACAGCCCTCCCCGGCGAGCTTCTCACCCGCGCCGGTCACGTGACAGCCCTCCCTGGCGAGCTTCTCAGCCGCGCCGTTCCGACAGTCACGACACGGTGGCCACTGTCAATGGACGGCGGTGTGACGCTACCCAGATTCTGTGTTTGCTGATGTACGTGCGCTGGACCCCACGTTGCCACATATGCCGCAACGTACATGTGAAAAGCCTTCCGTCCTCTAACACGTCAGCGAGGCCGGCGACCGTGTGATGGAGGGGTCACTGTCGCTCACTCGGCCGGAGCCGTCGGCCGCAGCGGCCGGCGGTGGCGTGTCTGGCTTGGTCGCCGCCGCGTGCCACATCCGTCTCCCGGCGTCGGGCGCCGGCGACACGAGCCGCCCCATAAATCGCCCCGCGCATGCAGATCGCAGGCCGGCCCGGGCTGGCCGGCCAGCGGCGGGGCGGCGGTGGCGGCCAAAGCGCGGCTGGGCGGATGTGGATGCCGCGTCAGGTGTCAGGATACGCGTCCGGCTCCTTCCCTGAAGAGACCCCCCGTGGGCGGTGTGGCGGGCTGCGAACTGCGTTGCTACTATTGTGAATGTTTCTCATTGACTTGAATTGCAAGGAACTATTACATATTTAAAAGCATACATAGCTGGGTACCTTGCGTGTGCTGCTGCGTGGCTTTGACGTTAAATGGACGCGTGCTTTTAATCTTGTTTGCTTCTTATTAGGACATCACGTGTCCTGCTTAATTTAAATGTCTGATATTGGGGTGACTGGCTCTTGCTTTAATTGGGTAGCTGAGCATCAAACACAGCCGTCACCTGGAAAACAACACAGTGGGACAAAATAACTGAGGCTGAGTGGAAAATAGGAGCGAAATTGCAGTCGAAGGACGTCTTGTGGTGTAGAAATGGATACAAATTCGTGGTCAAAATGCTTTGAAGATATCTTCTTTGCACTCGATGGTGTCTAAACTTCAACTCAGTCTCCACGTGGACGAATCGCGTTGAAAAAACAGTTCCAAATTTCCAAAAGCCCAAGACACACATGGTCTTGTAAAAGTTCGGCCCACATTTCTTCATGTAGAAATGCTGTTATGCGCCAAATTTCGCATCTTCAAAAAGCGCATGTGTATTTATTCGTTTCTATCCATATGATGTTTTGCAATCCACAGTTCTATGGCGTATTTCCCGTCGCAATTATCTGTATGCGCACCTGATATCCCTTTTATTCGCCTCGGGATTTTCCTTGTCGCCTTTCTTGATGCACATAAATGTTCGCGTCGCATCTCTTTAAATACGCAATAGGTTGCATCATATGTCCTGTTTATAGTCAACCCTTCGTGCCACATCCTTTATTAGATGCAGTTATTCATATAAATTGCATATAAATGTATAAGATTGCATACGGCCAGTTGGTTATTCTGTCCGCATGACGTTAGACGCAACTTTGGGGACTCCAAATGTTGTTTTTATCGCTTGTCATGCGGCGATTTCCGCACGGAGAAATGTGATACAAAGATGTACGACACACACACTTTTGTCCTCGGAGAAATGTGGTGCGAGAAAATGATGTAGAAAGTTCTGTCTTGGAACCTTAACGACATTACATGGAAAAGTTAGCGTGCTCTTTCTAATATCTGCCTTTTCCCGTCCCCCGTAGCTCTATGGACCTACCTTTCGTCCCAGGTTGGTGCACCTGTTCGGCGTGTATGATGAGCGTGGTGCGCCTCCGGGTGTAAGTGGGTGGGTGGGGACTGGCCGCCCCGCAGTGGGCGGTCGCTGCGGCGCGCTAGTGGTGCCTCCCTGTCCGATGATCCCCGCAACTGAGAGCGAGTGGTTTTTCCTGTCGGATATACATGCACTATTGCGCTGGAGGGAGAGCTGATGAAGTCAGAACTCACTCGAGTTCCGGTCACGAATTCAGAGCATTGCGCGCCTCATAAGCACCGACATTTGTTAGGGTAGTGGGGCAGCAGGTCCAGCCAATGGGGACGTTATTATGTGGCTGTTGTGTGGACTGACCGGTGCAGGGCTTATCGACCCTGCCATATCAGCGGAGACTTACTCCAGTCCGTGATTAATCACGCGCGTTAGAGGTGACACTTGGCCATGTTAATGCAACTAATTTACAATGCAGGCCCGTTCGGACGCTCGCACCACATCGTAGCGACAGCGGC